GGAGTTGGGGCCCGCGGGCTTGAATCGTAATCTCGAGACGAAGAGCAGGAACTCGACCACGAGAACCCTTCCACGAGAAACCCAACCCTGAGCCCCCAGGACGTCCAGTGATTTTTGGTGTGGGAGCGGCACGCTCACCATCGCAAAACCATCGAAACCCAAGGAATCCAGGGCACCCTGGAGGCAAGCAGGGTGCTTCCTAGCATGGGCCCCCACTGCATCGCCAACGCAGGCGCAGATGCAAGTCTCTTGGCCTCTTGGAGAAGACCATCAATCGGGGGCGCGCGAACATGGATTGACGATCCATGGATTTGGCGCGCGGTCGCCATGGATCGGGGGAGAGGTGCCATCCCCCAAAACTGCGGCCGGTGCCACCTCGCTCGGCGGCGGAGATCCACGGCTTCCCGTGGAAGCGGGACCCGTAGCGAATCCACGCCCCCTTTGATCCATGTCTGCGATCGCCCGACCGTGGCCTCTTGGAGAAGACCATGCACGAGGGTGAGAGTCCCGCTCGTCCTCCGCGGCCCCCCCGGTGCACGGCGCACCTCCCAAGAGCCGCGGGCCGCGGCCTCCGGAGCCCCTCGCCAGGCCCCCGGGGACCGTCGGCAGACGCCTCGCGCTGGAGGTGCGATTGTAGGCAGCGGGTCCCGGCACCCCCCCCCCCCGGAGCCTAGCCCCTCGTCCGGAGCCGTTTCCCGACGGCCCTGGGACCCGTGGAAGTCCCGCGGAGGCCAGGCCTTCTCTTGGGCCTCTTCGGGACCCGTTGGGGGCCGTCCTGGGCGCCCTTTTGGGGCCTCCGCGGGGCGTCTTCTGGGCCTCCTGGAGGCCTGTTGGGGCCTCTCCGGGGGCCTCTCGGACACGTCGTGGGGCCTCTCGGGTTTTCCCTTGGGCCTCTTCGGGACCTGCTGGGGGCCGTCTTGGGGGCCATTTTTGGGGGCCCCCGATCCACCGCAGGGCCCAGGTGCACGCGGCGCCCGCTGGCCGGCAGCTCGAAGGACTGCAGCTCGCCGACGTGCACGGCCGCGCGCAGGCGCACGGACGGGCTCTGCTGCCGCGCCCAGCGGCACAGCAGCTGCCCCAGGCGCACGGCCGCGTCCTCCGCGCCCAGCACCACCATCACCATCATCACCATCATCACCATCATCACCATCATCCTCATCGTCACCATCACCATCACCATCTGCATCATCACCACCACCACCACCATCACCATCACCGTCACCACCACCACCACCACCACCACCACCACCACCACCACCACCACCATTGTCACCATCATCAGGAGCATCATCACCATGCTCATCGTTGACCAAGATAGGTCTGTAGAGCCCCTCCCAATAGTTGATACGTACTGATTCTCTTTTCGGCGACCTTCTTGACGAACCGGGGTCCCTCCGCGGCACCCGCCGCACAATGACGACGACGACGACGAAGACGACGACGACGAAGACGACGACGACGAAGACGACGACGACGACCACGATGCGACTGCGGCTACAGCTACGACTACGAGTAGTAGATTGGGAGCTACGCCTTCGGCGAAGAATGTGTCGATCTACAACGCAATCCTCTTACAATCGTGATCAAAATACCTCTGTCGTGAAGGGTAGCCCTGAGATTATTATTCGCCGGGAGCAAGAAATCCCAACATTATCCAGCGCGGCGAACATAAGTGGAAACATAATATCCGCCGCATACTATCCGCCGCGACGACGACGACGAACATGAATATGACTACGATTACGACTACAATCACAATTACAATCACGATTCCAATCACGACTACAACCACGACCACAATCACGACTACAACCATAACCATTGATTTCTAATGCCACCCTCATGAGAAGATGGATGCTCACAAATCCTCTCGCGTGTGGGGTAACCAAAAACGTATTAGCCCCTGGGACTACGAATCCCCCAATATTATCCAGCCCGCCAAACAACAGAGGGAGACTGATCTCCGCCGCGACGACGACGACGATAACCACCACAAGGAGAAGCACGAGGAGCAGGAGGAGGGGGGGAGGAGGACGAGGAGGAGGAGGGGCGAAGTTCGTTCCCCGTCAAGAGAAACGGGGGGGGGTCAAGACTAAATACCTCCTACGGTTATAGTGTACCTGGATTGCAACTACAACGAGATGAAGGTCAAGATTGTGAGCAACGCCTTCGGCGACGAGTGTGTCAATCTATACTGCAATCCTCTTGCAAGCGTGCTCAAAACCCCTCGTCAGGCAGGGTCGGTAGGCCAGGGAGCATTATTCGGGCCCCGTTGCTGGGCCCCAGGGGCGATGTCTTGCCCCCTCTTCCCCCCTCCTCCTCCTCCACCTCCTCATACTCCCCCGACATTTTTGTGCAAGAGCCATGGCACACGTGCCACTTGTTCGCTCGGACAAAGAACCTCCCAACATTACCCAACACGGCGAACAATAGCGGGAACCAACTCATCCGTGGCCCGCGACGTGGGCGCCGACGACGAGGAGGAACGAGACGAGTAGGA